AGAAAGGTTGTTTCCCCAGGTAGGGATTTTCCTCTGAAGTTAGGGAGGGAATAAAACCCCTCAACTAAGTGCCAGGCGGGTACTTAATCACTTTAACTATGAACAATCATGCTTAAGCTACATAATCTTTACTCCCTGGAATGGAGATAAGAAATGCCCTAACCTTTGGAATAGAGATTGATAGGATTGGAATCAACTGGTATAAATACAGATGTAACAACACAGAACTTAGAAGACAGAACCAAGAAGACAGAACCTACACAGAACCTAGAGACAGATGAACTTCGCTGGAGAGAACATGGCAAAAGATCCTGGACTGAACCTGACTATAGAACATGGCAAGAGAACCTGACTAGAACCTGGTGACTGAACCTGGCTGGAGAACCTAGTGAGGGAACATGGACACAGAACCTGGCTGGAGATCCTAAGCAGAACCTCTCTGGAGATCCAGACCAGAACTTGGCTAGAGATCCTGGCTGGAGATCCTGGCTAGGCTGCTGATCAACTTAACACTGTCTCCGTGTCCTTCCTTCTTTGCCGACTCCATCTACGCCTTTGGGAACCCCTGGACCCGCTGGGGTTGGACCCCAGCATGGGACCCCTCGGGAGGTAACGACCTGCTGGCTTAGGCCCGCTCCCGGGTGGCAGAGGGCAGGCCCAATCCCTAAGTGCAGCCCCTGGTCGGGCTCAGAGCAGGGCCAATTGGGGAGTTGGGGCACCGCCCCCTGTCATGCACAGAGCAGGGCGGATCAGGAGGTTGCGATGCCACCCCTAGTCATGCTCAGGGTAGGGCCGATTGGGGGGTTGGGGTACCACCCCCTGTCACACTAAAGGCAGGGTCGATAGGGAGGTTGCGGCGCCACCCCTGTCACGCACAGAGCAGGGCGGATCAGGGGGTTGGGGTGCCGCCACTGTCATACTCAGGGCAGGGCCGATGGGGGGGGGGGCGCCGCACCCTGTCACACACAGAGCCGCAGGGCAATCGGGGGTTGGGGAGCTCCCCTCTGTCACACACAGAGCAGGGCTGATCAGGGGTTGAGGAGCTCCCCCCCTGTCACACACAGAGCCGCAGGGCAATCAGGGGGTTTGGGCGCTGCCCCCTGTCACGCTGATCCCAGTGCCGGGAGGCCTCGCTGCTCCGCTGATCCCGGTGCTGGGAGGCATATTACCCTTTTACTATATAGGATAGAGGCCTGGTGCACGGGTGGGGGCCAGCTGGTTTGCCCTGAAGGGTGTCCTGGATCAGGGTGGGGGTCCCCACTGGGGTGCCTGGCCAGCCTGGGTGAGGGGATGGTGGCTGTTTGCAGGTGGTCACACACCCTTCAGGGTGGGGGTCCCCACTGGGGTGCCTGGCCAGCCTGGGTGAGGGGATGATGGCTGTTTGCAGGTGGTCACACACCCTTCAGGGTGGGGGTCCCCACTGGGGTGCCTGGCCAGTCTGGGTGAGGGGCTGAGGGCTGTTTTCAGGCTGGCGGGTGACTGAAGCTCCCAACCTGTCCTTTTTTCCTTTTTTTTTTATTCTGGGCCAGCTTTAGCTCTCAGGCTCGGCTCCAGCTATGAGACCTCCGCTGCTGAAAGCAGGTTTCTGGCCTTTGTTTACCTTCTGTATTTGAAACAATGTTGCGGTCCTGCTGGCTGAAGCCCGGGGTTTTGTTTAGCTTCTACATTTGTTACAATGTTGCTTAGAGTGCAGCTGAGAGGCCGGCAAGGCAGGCGGGGAAGCTTGGATTCCTCCGTCACTGAAGCAAGCAAGCCTCCCTGTTTGCGTCAGCTGCCTGGCTGCCGGCCGCCATCTTGGCTGGCAGTTAATTTGCATATCGCCTTGATTAGCCAATGGGAAGGGTAGCGGTCATACGCTAATTACCATGTTTCTCTTTTATTAGTGTAGATAAAATAAAAGCCTAATATGCTAAGTGTCCAGTTGTCCATCCAACCAATCAAAGCATAATATGCTAATGATATGCTAAGGCCGCTCAACCATTTGCTATGAAGTGCACTGACCACCAGGAGTCGACCAGTTGCTATGATGACTACCAGGGGGCAGATGCTCCCTCAGGAAAGCTATGTACCCCTAAGTGAAAATCATCAGGTTCTCAACTGGAGTTGCACACAATGGATTTGTGCCTTGTAGCTAGTGAGAACATACTGATTATCATAATTCAACAAGTATGTATTAAGAATGTATAATAATATGTATGGCAAAATGCTAAGTGTTAAAAATTTATTTTAGTTCTTGTCAAAATAAATGAAAAAGAGGTAGTACTTATTAATAGTTTTAATTTAATAATACCTAAAGTTAAATAATATTTTCAATGTTCCAAGCAACTAAGTGCTTTACATATAATTTATATAATCCTCTCAATATGTGTGAGGTAAATTATATTAATTTTTATTTCTTTATTTGTAGACTTAAATATGTTTTCATAAACTGCACTCAGATTTACAAATATATTTTTTGAGAGTTATTAAGGTAGTCTGGGGAAATGTCCTTTCAGGGAAGATTTCTAGAAGTCGTTGCATACATATTACCATACTAAATAAATATTGACCTCAAGAATATAAGAGTAATGTAAATTTAGGAGCCAAGATTTCATATTACTATTCCCAGATTTATACTCCATTTCATGGTTTTGACTTTGGGAGAGAAGCAAACTATTGGTTAGTTCCTGAGACCGCCTTCCACCACGTTATTTTAGGCTTTTGTTTTTTGTTTCTTTTTTGGCCCCTGTTCACCTCCTTCATTCATTTTTCAACAGGTTTCCATTCATTTTTCTAATGGTGCTGCTCATTTTCTCAGGAATTATAAATTATTCTTAAATGTGCATTAATGAAACATCAGTATTTTAATCCTTTGACCTTTATGTACCAAATATCTTTTTCAGTTATCCTTTATTTATATTTTAATGAAGTAAAGTTCATCTTCCCACTTTTTCTCACTTTTCCATCTCTAAAATGAACATAATAATATCTGTATCTTAAGGATTATTTTATTTTTTTAAATGAGTAGACAAGCATTTAAAACAGTGTAGGATAGTGGTGATGGTTATACAGCACTGTAAATGTAACTGCCACTGAATTTTATACTAAATTATGATTAAAATTGTAAATTTTGTTATGTCTATTTTATTACAATAAAATAAAATAAAATAGCTCCTGACACATAGCCAGGATATTTTGAAAGTAAACATGGTATTAGAATAGTTTGATTTGTCTGTAACATCTTTAACTAAAAGCTTCATGTGGATAGATATGTCTAACTTGCTCAGCATTTGTTGCTCTGACACACAGGAGGTCCTAAAGAAATACTTGTTGAGTGAGGTGTCTAGCAATAGAATGGGCTGCCTGAGAAATGGTGACTTCTTTGTGAGTGGAATTATTTAAGCAGAGGTTATAATGATCACCTGCCAATGATGTGTCATAGAATATGTCTAAAACATGGAACTAGTAAAACTGCCTAAATTTCTTAGCAATCTATGATTGCATTATTTTGTTTATCCCGTGTTTTACTATAGCAATTTTCATAATCTAATAACAGTATCAACATCATGAAGGAATTCCATATTTCAGCACTTGCCATTTTAACCCCTGAAATAGTCTCTGATCAGTAAAATACTCTTAGCAGTTCCTGCTCTCCTGGCATATGTATTACGTGCCTTTTCCTTTGTTTCACTTACCTGTGTTCTTTACTTTCTTGACATCACACTCTCCAGAAAGGCTTGGTCTTTTTCACAGGGTATAAAGTTACCGAGTTGCTAGTTTTCTAAATTGTAAGCTACTTGGAAGCAGACTCTGTGTCTTGTCCTCCAATCATTGTCAACCCCAGAACACACTGCCTGGTAATAAATAGTTACTAAATGACTAACGGCCTGAATGAAACTATCTTCTGAGGTCTATTGCTTTCAATTGTGTACACCAAGCATGTCAAACTGAAAGGCTAACACAGGCCAAATAAACCAGGTTTAAGTTTATGCGGGCTGCATACAAACAAAAGCTTAATTTTCATAGAAACATAGGCTTATTTCTATAGAGACATGCTGAATACAAAGGACTAAAATAAATGAGTAATTGTTAACATAAAATAATAGAACATTTTAATAAAAATTAATATTTTTTTCTTGAACATTAACTTACCAGACACTGAATAACTACACAAATTAATAAGCATAATGCAAATAAACCTATTTTTCTTGTTCTCCGAAAGCAAAATATTTCCTGTTGTGCACACCAAACAAGTTAGTCCAAGACTAATGACATGGCCATCACCTGCTAAAATATTCACTGCTAGTATTAGTGGAGAGAAATGGTGCGCCTGTGTGTAAGGTACCTAAGGGAAATAAATGCAACACGATTATAGTAATCAGTCATTAGTGAACGTTGTAGTTCATTATTAATAATTATGTGTAACATGATATGGTAAAAATTAAGTTACGAAATTTTATTAAAACATTTCTTACTTACCGTTATATTGGCTGGGCTGGAAAAATATTTGTTGTAGTCTGCATGCAGCCTGCAGGCCGCGAGTTTGACATGCTTGGTGTACACCATAGATAATTTTTAAAAGCACATTTCTTTTTAGATATTTTGACCAACCGGTTACAATGCTTTCTTTGTGGCAAAATTCTGTTGAATATCTCCTTAATGCTATCAAGCATCCTGCACTGGTGGGGTCCAGCTGGCCTGCCCGATGGGGGCCATCAGGAGTGGGCTGGCTGGGGCGAGGGTCCGCAGGTGGTCTGGTCGTTCTGCTGTTTCGTCAATTTGCATATTACCCGTTTATTATATAGGAGGGTGCAATTGAAACCCCCAAACAAATGTGTGCTTTTATTTTGTGCCTAGAACTTATATCCTACAAAGTAAGTTTTCTAGAGCAAATTGTTTGTAAAAAGCACAGGCCAAAATCTGGTAGGACACTAGTAGTTGTTGTCTGAAAAAAGAAATTAAAACAAAAATAAATTCTTACTTACTATGAACTGGACATTTTTGTCAGAGAAGATTGTTATTGATATTCCAGGCTGCCTATAAAATTTCGGTAAGAGAAAATATGGAAATATTTCAACTTTATGATAATTTTATGATCCTTAGTTTAACCCCTACATGTTGAGCTTCCAATATTGCATTTATTTTGTGATTTCCCACAAAACACTGAGAGAAAATCTCAGTGAAGTCCACCTTAAAGAGGATATTTTTCAGTCTACGAGGAAAATAAGGAGCATGTTCTGCATTAAATTCCATGGTCAACAGGTAAGCATGGGGGATGGGGGGATAATTTTCATCAATATCACAGAAGAATGATTACCCTGGCATAATTAGAAGGTTTCTCAGGCATTTTAATTATTCAGCAATTGGATCATTCACACGGCAGGGCTTCCCCTCAAGGGGCGGGGCCAACCGTGTCTGTGGGGCGGGGCCAACCTTGTCCGCATGGCCAGCTGGATTGGCAGGTCATGGGGCGGGCCAGCGCATGCGCACTGGCCGGTCCGCGGCCGCCGGTGGACCATGGAGGCGCCGAGGCCCTTTGCACAGGACTGGTACGTCCCGTGGCTCCCCCTGACGCGAGGGGCCGATTTGACGCTGTGGCTCTGTGAGCTCTGGCTGCTACTGCTGACGTCCGGCTTGTACGCGGGTTTACTGCCGCACGAAGAGGACGTGAACTTTATCAATGAGTACGTGAACCTCCACAATGAACTCCGAGGCAAGGTCAGGCCCTCAGGGGCTAACTTGCGCTTCATGGTGAGGCCCCGAGGCAGGCGGTTGCCTGAACCTCTGACAACCCTTGTCCTGACCACGCACCCCGGGGCCTCGCAGAGTCTGGGCCGTTGCACTGAGGGTTAAGGATTGTAGGGAGCCGCACTTTCCGTTTGGGCTTAAAAATATATATGCGTAAAGTTTATTCACTGAAGAAATACAAACCACCGTCTTCTTAACACATTTGTTACCAAGATTTTACATAGGCCTGGGACTAGGGTGAGTAGAGGCACTCATCTGAGGTGTACAATTTCAGGAGGTTTCCATTCGAAGAAATGACGGTTCAGTGCATTTTATTTATTTTGTTATTTAAAAATCTGCAAAAACATCGATGGAGACTATCAATTTAAACAACAGGATCCTTGTCTTCAATCAGGCGCAGCGGTTCTCAACCTGTGGGTCGCGACCCCTTTGGCGGTCGAACGACCCTTTCACAGAGGTCGCCTAAGACCATCCTGCATATCAGATATTTACATTAGGTTTCATAACAGTAGCAACATTACAGTTATGAAGTAGCAACGAAAATAATTTTATGGTTGGGTCACAACATGAGGAACTGTATTTAAAGAGCCAGAAGGCTGAGAACCACTGAATTAGGATGAGGCTAGTGAGGCACTCTCAGGATGATGCAAATGAAAAGCCAGATCTTGTTTTTATTTAAAATAGTGATTTTTTTTTTCCATCAAGGATTTTTTACATCAATTTTTTTTTTTTTTTTTTTTTTTAAATACTGCTTACCGTAATTATTGTGAGATGTGCTTTCTCTGGTATCTACCCAAGGGAACGTCTCAGTCACCTTACCCTTCTTTCTGCCAGGGACCGGTTGATATTTGTAACATCTCTGGTAGGCCCTACAACATTAGAAACTTAAAAATGAGCCTGCTCTATTTGGTCAAACATGTAATTAACTCCTGGTCTGTTGGCTAGACCTGCTTCTCTCTAGTGAGGCTTGTGATGTTAGCCCAGTGATGGCGAACCTATGACACGCATGTCAGAGGTGACACGCCAACTCATTTTTGTTGTTGATTTTTCTTTGTTAAATGGCAATTAAATATATAAAATAAGTATCAAAAATATAAGTCTTTGTTTTACTATGGTTGCAAATATCAAAATATTTCTATATGTGACACGGCACCAGAGTTAAGTTAGGGTTTTTCAAAATGCTGACACGCCGAGCTCAAAAGGTTCGCATCACTGTAGTTAGCTGGTATTGATGTCGAACCGCTTTTCCAGGTTTGCCTCGGTCTGTCTGGAGCGCAGGTGACTCTGCGATGCTAAGTTTTGAAAAGAACTGCTCCCAGCAGAACGTTGTTCCAAACACAGATGCGTATTTCAGTGCATGGCTCCTCAGAGTGGGAAATCCATCGTTGCTTATGGAGCGTGTATAGAACGCAAGCAGTGGGGGAGGTGGTTGTACTTGGCTTTCAGCTCATCGTCGCTTGGCAGCTGAACGGTTTCGTGTTGTAGGTTATCATGCACATCAGCGGGTTCCACATTGAACCGATGTAGCAAAGATGTTCAGTTCCACTGGTTTTCTTTTCATGGCCTTGAATCTTTCATTAAATGGCTTCAGAGTTCCCCACATTCGCCCGCATATTCAAGTGTCGTAGAAGGCTTTTGTCCTCCCAGAGTGGGGAAATGCTCCGTGTTGCTCCTTTCGAGTTGCACTTTCCAAAAGCCTTAATTTAGCTTCAGATGATTTTACGTTTGAAAGCAGGGAGTTGAGAAGCTGGTTGGGGCCCGGCAGCTTGACATTCAGCTCTGAGAGGTACTTGGTAACATGCACCATGGACGCTAGATCACACAGCCACTTGCCACCATTGAGTTCCCAGAGAGGTTTTCCCTTCATCTCCATGAGCTGCTTGACTTCATCCTGTAGTTCATAAAACCTCATAGCATGTTCCTGCGACTCAGCCACCACATTTCACAGCGATAAACGAGATCATTGTACTCAGTCAGGATCATTCAGTAACTCCTTAACCTGGCCGCTATTAAACCCTCTGCTTTTGGCAAAATTTACACATGACACTGCTCTTGACATCACGTTGTTGAGCCTCAATGACTTTGCACAGAGACTCTCTTAGTATACAGTGCAGTGGCATATAATTAAATCACTTGGATCGAGACTGAAATGATTCCGTTCTTTCTTGACAAATGCAATTAACCCTTTTTGTGAGCCAGTCATGGCTGTAGCTCTGTTAGTAGTAAGGCCACTTTTCAAACATTAGCTCGAATTTTTTCATTGTTAAAACAAGCCTCTCAAGTTGCTCACCTCTTGTAGTGCCATGCATGGCTTCCAGGGACAGCAGTTCCTCTCGTGTGTCAAGCAAGCTCTGCAGTTATCCCGTGAATGAAAATGGCCAAATGGGCAGTATTTGTTATGTCTTCTTGTCACAAGCCAGAGAGAAAAATTGGAAATCCTTCCGTGTTTTTTCAATACCTTCTGCTGTCAGTAATCCCATCTGAGGCGGTTCTCTGAGACACACTAACACTCTGAAACAATTTTAATTTGTCTGGTGCTAACAGTTCTGTAGCAGCCACCATGACCTCTTTCACAAACGCTCCCTCACATGAGGCCTCAGCTTCTTTTCGACTTGCTCCCTCACTGCATAATTCATCTGAATAACATTGTCACTGTCATAAGGAGGCTTAAGTAAAAGCAGATTGTTGTGATTCTAAACTCCACCGAAGAATATTGATTTTTTCTTGACACATTTGGCCTCTCAATTCATTGAGTTCAGCATGTTTTGAGCTATAATGACGATCCAGGTTGGCTTTTTTCATTATTGCCAACACATCGCCACAAACTGGGCACATAGGTTCGTCTTTGGCTTCAACAAAAAAATAATCATTTGGTCCTAGCCGGTTTGGCTCAGTGGATAGAGTGTCAGCCCATGAACTGAAGGGTCCCAGGTTTGATTCCTGTCAAGGGGTACATACCTCGGTTGCAGGCTCAATCCCTAGCCCTCATCAGGGCATGTGTGGGAAGCAAACAATTGAGGTGTCTCTGTGTATCTGTCCCCCTCCCTTCTACTCTCTTAAAAAAAAAAAAAAGGAAAAATATCCTCAGGTGAGGATTAACCAAAAAAAATCATTTGTCCATTTCTCTTAAAAATATTGACACTGCACATCAAGTTTTCTCTTTTTTTGTAGTCACCACTTGTAGGATGTCACACCACTTAAGTTTTATTAACTATCCAGTGTGTTGCCGTACTGCAATCATTTTGCTTTGATAGCTGTTCTAATCCTGTATCTTGGATTTGGAACATATCCAACATTTGTATCATTGACTCTTGAGGTCTTTTCAGTGTATTGTGATTTCTTTAATCTTCATCTGAGATCAGTTTTTACAAGGATTGTTGATCATGGATGTGTGGATAAAGGTTGGATTGGATTTATCATCTGTGTCAACAAAAAGTCAACAACATCGTTGTCAGTCATTGGAGGCAAAGTCATCAACATCCCTAGGAATTATCTCATTGCATCTGGTCCATCATCACCGGATCGCTATAGCTTCACCACAGCGTGTTAACACTTTCCCAGCGTGTACACTCTCAGTCAGCCCGGCACTGACTATTCTCTGAGTCACCACAATACAGGCATATGGGCCATGGTCAGCTGACAAGAAGCATACATGTCTGTCCTGTCATGTACTCATCATATGTGTCCTATCAATCCTGTAATGGTCATTCCTTGCTTCTCCCTCAAAATTTACATTATTATTATGATTCACTTAATATACGTTTAGGTTGCTATGAAAAAAAGCTCCTAGAAGATTTATTGAATTTCGAGTCCCACCTGTGGTAGCTTTGGCAGGGTCAGACCAAAAGATTTCTCAGCCTGCAGGTCAGAAATTCCCCACCCCTGCCCTAGTTCAACCCTTATTTTTCATTCCTTTAAATGTTTTTTCTTGCTTCTTTCCCATTCCCTCCCCTTCCCCATTTCTATTTAATGTATCAACTCTTCCTTTGTTGTCATTAAAAATGACTAAAATGACCTTGGCCAGTGAAGCTCTGTTGGGCTTCATCTGGAGCATGGAAAGGTTGCAGGCTTGGTTCCTGGGAGAAAGTGGGCAGGAGGCAGCAGATTGATGTGCTCTCACATCAATATTTCTCTCTCTCTCTCCCTCTCCCGTCTTCTCTCTCTAAAAGTCAATAAGAAAAGAAAAAAAAGACTAAAATGTATTGAAATAACTAGTCTCTTATGAGGCAATTAGAAGCTTCCAATTTACATTATAATGTATTTTAAAGACTATCTCCCTAGACTTGAATCTTTTCTTCCTTCTGGATTGGTTCCTTTGGACAAATTCAAAAATATGGCATAAATAATGGATGTAATATTTTTAATTTATATGACACATAGCAATTGCTAGTCTAAATGGTTGTGCCAAATTAAGCAAATACCAGCAGTGTATAAATGTTCTGCTTTCACCACATCCGCACTGGCTTGGGCATTGTCAGTCACTTGCTAAACTGATAAATTATACAATAGGACTTCATATTAATGTTAATTTTTTAAAAATATATTTTATTGAGTTTTTACAGAGAGGAAAGGAGAGAGATAGAGAGTTAGAAACATCGATGAGAGAGAAACCTTGATTAGCTGCCTCCTGCACACCTCCTACTGGGGATGTGCCCGCAACCAAGGTACATGCCCTTAACCAGAATCGAACCTGGGACCTTTCAGTCCCCAGGCCAATGCTCTATCCACTGAGCCAAACTGGTTAGGGCAATGTTAATTTTTAAATGCTAATTTGAGTGATCATATTTTAGTTCTTTTTTGTTCATTTTCTTTACCTTTTGTATTTTTGGTGTTTCCTCTTATGTTTATATATTTTTATAAAAATACATTAGAATTTAATCTGTTGCTGAAGATAATTATTTCCAAGCCAATTTTTATGTTTTGAATTTAATCATAGAATTTGGGGATCTTTGGGAGTTTTAGCTATGCACCCCCATTTATGATTACTTGTTAATATATATATA